ATTTATTTTGAATTGTAAAATTTATTTTTGTATTATTTGGTAATATTGTGTAATTATTAAATAAAATAAATCTGTTTTCTTTATTTTTTACTGTTTTTATTTTTTTTTCTTCAAAGAATGGCGCCGGTGGGGAGACGAAACTTTTAAAAGTTATAAGCAAGTCCACAATATTCGGACCGAAAACGGTCTGGATATAGTTTGAGAATGGCGCCGGTGGGGAGACGAAACTTTTAAAAGTTAAGTTACAAGCAAGCCCATAATATTCGGACCGAAAACGGTCTGGATATAGTTTGAGAATGGCGCCTGTCGGGATACGGAACTTTTAAAAGTTGCAGGCAAGTCCATAATATTCGGACCGAAACCGGTCTGGATATAGTTGCAAGTTTTAAAAGTTGCAGCTAGGTCCTCAATATTCGGACTGATCTCGGTCCGTATATATTTGCGATGCCTCTTTCCGCCACAGTTACAGACCGTTGTCGGTTCGTACATATTTTATTATTTTATTATATTATTTTTTTGGGACCAATTTCGGTCTTCTTATTTCAATTTCTCAATAATTGTTTATATTTTTTATTGAAATATCCGGACCGATTTCAGTCCGGATAGTATATATATATGGACCGATTATATGTCGGTCTGTATATTATACTTATTCGTACCAGGTTTTTTCAGATCAACTATAAGGACCAATATCGGTCTGTATATATATATTCAGATCGATTTATAATATATCCAGACCGATAGTTCGGTCTGAATATCCGATTCCTGCAGTAGTGACTTTTATGTGTTCTTTTAGCTTCAAAAATTGTGGTTGACAATTCAAGAATTGCTTTGGTGTTACGAGAAAGGGGTTCAAATCCCCTAATTGGAGAAGGTTGATTTTCACATCATCTGATTTGTAGTAGATAGAGGTTAATTACTGCCTGTAAGTAACATGGTAACTGATAGAATTTGCACAATAGGTAGACTTTCATATAACTAGTGATACTTAATTGGTGGTTCTTATATATGCTTGGTATGTATATATGGTATTGTGCCAATAGCGATTGACCCAATAATCACTAGTACTAGGTGCTTCTTGTTTGTCATTGAATGATCTGTTTACAAGGGAAAATAATTGATACATCTTTTGATACATGTTTTGATTCAGTACACCTTTCTGACACTCACTTGATTGAGCCATTAAAATATGACGTAAGTAAATATAATATAAATATAATCAATTTAACTAGTTCTTGTATGCTGTAATTTATTTATCTTTAATTTGAAATTAGAAAATAATGTTTTTTTTTATAATAATTATGTTGTGTAATATATTGACTTGAAGAGTGTACCAATCAGTATCTGTTTATGAGTGTTTATCACCTTATATTAGATATGGGGATAATGTAGGATATGTCATCCTCCTAATTTTTTTTTCTGAGAATATGTCTAAAAATCTACCTTCTAATTAATATTTTTAAAAACCAACCAGTTGGATTAAAAGTTTTATTCATATAGATCATGCATATCATTTTTATATTAATATAAGATTTATAATTATTTGATAAAAAAAAACTTTATTTACTGACATATATTTAATGGTGTTAAATTTTTTATAATTAATGAAGTGGTTAGACTTACTAGAACAATTTGAAAATTAACATACGTGATTTATATGAATAAAATTTTCAATTAAACAATTAGTTTTTAAAAATATTAATTAGAATATAAGTTTTTAAATAGTTCCGCCAAAAAAATTTTAAGAGAATAATCTATAAAATACTTTTCCCATTAAATATTTAGATGACATAGGTACAACTCTTGTTGCCTAAGTGAGTTGCTATATAGAAATTATAATTGTTGTAATCTTTATTTTTCTATCTATTATTGAATTTACATAATTTATTATTAAAAAAACATTTGGGAATGGTAATTATTTATTATTCTTCTAAAACATGTTTAGAGGTCATGGTTATGTACACAAATTGTTTTTTTTTTTGTCAAAAAATCTTTAGTGAGGAGATATAAGGAGTAACTGAAACCCATATTTATTAATCGTGTATGGACTCATCAAGCCCATATTTCCAAAGCACATCAAACCAGCTACTTAAGTTCTATTTCAGATCAAGATTAATGCAAAAGGCTACCACATCCTTGGTAATTAACCAGCCATGAAGCTCATATGTCCACACAAATAATTGTTCAAGTCACCAAAAATTAAAACATAAGAAGTGTGTTTTGGTTTGGCTATTAAGAGAAACTCATAGTTGTAACGGTTAATTTGATAGCTGATAGAATATTTAATATTTATTAGTTAATTGTTTGAAATCAATTTATAAACTACTCCCTTTGTTTATTTTTGATAGACTTAGTTTGATTTTTTGACCTTTTAAACATAAATTTTAAATGAAAATTTAACATATTAAATAAATGATAATTGAAGATTCTTTTTGATTAAATAAAAATACTTAGGAAGAACTTCATATAGTAAAAGAAAAACTTCTCAAATTGTTGTTCTTATAAGTCATTAACATTTTCTTTTAAAATTCATATCTAAAAAATCAAAAAGTTAAACTATATTTACTAAAAATGAATGGATGATGTAATGTTTTCAACCACCTTAACTAGCTATATACTAATAAAATCAAACAAATTAAATACACTTACAATATTTTGTGTAGCCTTAACAATTATTTATGTGGTTATATACAACCATAGCCATGTTTAGTGTCTTGGTCTTTGCTGTCCATATCCAAGTTAATTTGGTCACATATAGCCTAGTTTAGGGTCTTGGTCATTGCTATCCATATCCAAGTTGTAAGCCAAGAAATTTTGTCTTTGCTGTTCATGTCCAAGTTGTAAGTCAAGGTCTTTGTCATCTAGAAACAATTTTCCCTTGGGCGTTAAAATGATGAGAGTTAGCAATTTTGTAGTCTATCACATGTAAATTATATATTTTATAACTATTAATCAAGAGACATCACCTAAATATTGAAAGACTCACTTTTATAAAATATCTATAGTTATGGCAAATATACTTAAACGTGGAAATAAGGTCATTAACCTTTTCCTATTACATGTAAAATTATAGGAATATAACCACAGGTGTAGCTAGGTATTTAAAGCTACATTACATATACTTACACTTTTTTATCTTTAGGTATGGTATAAGCTTTGAAGGGACAATACCAATGGTTTTTTGCCATATAGTCACGATTTTTATCTATAGCTACATCATAAATTTGCTTTAGTGTTAATTAATTATTATAGAATATTAATTGGTATACTCTTTGATCCTTTAATTAATTAATTGATTATTTATTTATTTATTTTGCAAAAAATTTCCAAAATCTTGCAAACTTCTTGTGAAAACATGTCATTTTTTTTAAGAAAAAAATTACAATACTAACGAGTTTTTATTTAATGTTGTTAAAATTTTGACAATAAAAGCAAAAAAATAGAAACCGAAAGTATTACTAAACGTGCACCAACAAGCTATTTTTGTCTTTCCTTTTGGCGGAGATAAATATTGCGGCAAAAACCAACATTTAGCCCCTCACCTTACAAAATTGGTAGGTTTTAGCCCCTCATCTTATAACATGACACTTTAGGCCCTTTTCCTTACAAAGTTGGTAGGTTTTAACCATTTACCTTATATTATGACATTTTTAGTCTCTCACCTATAGAATTGAAGAAAATAGCCCTCACCTAACATCAGATTATAACATTCTGTTAGATCTGTTAGCTGACTAGTAATATTCGTTAGTATTCCGTTATAGAAAAATATGAAATTTAAATTCAATTTTATATATTAGTTCCATTAACAAAATGCTAACGGATGCTAACAGTCAGCTAACAAAACTAACAGAATATTATAATCTGATGTTAAGTGAGGGCTATTTTCTTCAATTCATACAAATAAGGGGTTAAAAGTGTCATACTATAAGGTGAGGGGCTAAAACCTACCAACTTTGTAAGGTAAGGGGCTAAAAACCTACTAACTTTGTAAGGTAAAGGGCTAAAAGTGTCATATTATAAAGTTAGGGGCTAAAACCTACTAATTTTGTAAGGTGAGGGCTAAAAGTTGGTTTTAGCCTAAATATTACTTAGTTGATATTACAAGTCAAGGTCTTTGTCATCTGTAAATGCTTTTGGGAAAGTATAACGAAACTTCAAACTTCATATGATGAGTAGGTATAAAGAAAATAAGGACCATTTGTGGTAGTCCCTTTCAATGCTAAAATTAGGTACATCTCATTCCTAAAAAGTGACTACAATTTCACAAATGATAAATTATATGCATTGAGAGGAAAAAAATGGAAACTTGGCAATTGAGTAACATAATTGAATTACTGAGATGCTTTAAGCTCCGAACACGTTTTGCAGAATAGTCCAAAATTTTAAGTGTTCTTCTAGCTTCAAAAATCTTGATTCACAATTCAAGAGTTGTTTTGGTGCAGTGGAAGGGGGTTTTAGATCCCCCAGTTGGAGAAGGCTGATTTTCTCATCATATGACATAGTAAATAGGGGCTATTGCTTGTCAGTAATATAGTAACCCATAGGGCTCGCATAACATATAAGACTTCAACATAGCTTGTGATCTTTAATTAGTGGTACTCTTTATATTTGATGACCATATTATTGCCCTAATAGGGTTCGCTTGATAATCATTAATACTAGAGATGGCTTCTTGTTTTTCATTGAATAATTCATTTATGAGTGTTTATCACCTTATATTAGATGCAATAGGTATAGCTCTTGTTGCTTGATTAAATTTCCATTTAGAGATTATAATTGATTGCAATATCTATTTCTTTATCTATTAATAAAATCACATGATTTAATTATTATAAAATGTATTTGGTAATGGTAATTACTTATTACTCCTCCAAATTGGTGATTCATAACCAAGACAAAAGAAAAAAAAAGAGTACTTGAAGGCTGAATCAGTTGTACTTATATTATATTTTGAATAGTTAAGCTGGACAAGTATCAAAAAATGTGTCAAACTAAGTGTG